AATCTATATCCATGCATCTCTCTCCTTCTGCCTTTTTCTGTCATTCTGCCTTTCAGTCAATAAACCTTCTCACATAGGCTAGCAAATTTTTCTTAATCTACTCTCAAACTTTTAAAAAGCATTAATGCTTTTTGGAGTATCATTTTCGCGCAATTTACTCTTTTCTGTTGTATGATGTGTGCTAATTTTAATTTGCATATATGTTATTACAAGCATGACATGTTGTTTTATAATCACAAGAGTTTTTTTTTTTTTAAGACTCCAAAACGGCAATGAATACGTTGAAGTAAGACACGTCAATGTGTACTTTCGCATTGCTTTCAACCTCAGCACATTTCATCCTTTGGCAAATTCAAGTACACACTGTGCAATACCAAATGCCTTTTTACAGTGTGCTCCTGCCAATTTGGGAGAAGCACCGTAAGACAAATTGACTGTCAGGACGGAAAAGCTTAACTGGGGAAGATACAGTTTTTGAATAATTGAAAGGAAGAGGAAATGCATTACAGAGAAGCCACAAAAACGCATGCTGCCTCATCAGAGGTCCCCCCACCCCCACCCCGAGACTCTTTTAAGTGAGGAGCCCTCAAACTGGTTCAGCCCCAAGGCTGGCCTGCCTTGCTTGGAGGTCACTATACCAGGGCCTTGGGATGGATAGAAGCTTCCACTGTCCAGCTGCATCACTCCTTGCCATTCTCCTAACCCTTGACGCTGTCCTGTGTACATTCTCACTGGCTGCTGGGGTCACCATTCCTCGCTTTGTTGTCGGAACTAAAGATTTTGCTTCTGTGTAGACCAGACACAGCTGGGACTGGAACTCAGGTCTTCTGTTTTAATCACTAAAGCAGTGACCTCCTTCAATCCCATCTGATCACAGTACTGCCCACTGACCAGAGTACCACGGCACTTTAAAAACTTCATGGAAAAATAAAATTGGAGGTTGGGTTAATTTTGATACAAAAAAAAATTGTTTTTGAGATAATACATGTGGGAGATCTTCAAAAATTTGTGATAAGAACGCATTTTTTTTTTAAAATAAAGGTTTTATAGTGCAGTGGCCTAGTGGCCAAAGTCCTCACCTTGAACATGCTGGGATCCCATATGGGTGCCGGTTCTACTCCCGGCAGCTCTACTTCCCATCTAGCTCCCTGCTTGTGGCCTGGGAAAGCAGTTGAGGATGGCCCAAAGCCTTGGGACCCTGTACCCGTGTGGGAGACCTGGAGGAAGTTCCTGGCATTAGGCTTCGGATTGGCACAGCACCAGTCGTTGCAGTCACTTGGGGAATGAATCATTGGACAGAAGATCTTTCTCTCTGTCTCTCCTCCTTTCTGTATATCTGACTTTCCAATAAAAATAATAATAATAATAATAAAAGGTTTTAGCACACAAACCATTTTTAGAACAAACCTAAAAAAAAAAAGATTTAGTTTTTATTATTTATTATAAAGGTAGTGTCAGAGAAAAAGAGGAGAGCCAGCCCACTTCTGTCCACTCTTACACTCCCCAAATGGGCACAACAGCTACACTGGACCAGTCCAAAGCAGGAGCCTGGAACTCCATCTTGGTCTTCCACATGGGCCGTTTCCTGCTGCTTTCCAAGGCACACCAGCAGGAGGATGGAAGTAAAACTTGAACCTGGATCATATAGGGTGCCAGCATTACTTAATCTGCTGCACCGCAGCATAGGCCCCCCTCCCCCCAAAATAAATGTTTCATTGCATTTTCCACAGTCTTTTTAAAGGTAGTGCCTACATACGGCCTCAGACCATCAGCATCCCCAGGAGAGCCTTTGAAGTCAGGCCAGTCAAGAGCCTCATCCCACAGCCATCGAGTCCAGATCCTTATTGTAGTAAGATCTTGAGGAGTCTGGCACGCGCACAAAAGTGGGAGAATGTGTCGAAGTGGCTTCTGAGTTTCTGTGCTTGTGTCATAATTCTGTGCAGCTGGGCTCCTTCAGGCCTCAGCACAGGTGGTACCTGCAAGGATTAGCAGGAGTCACTGGGAAGTTTGGGCCTTCCCCGGGTCCCTTGTTGGCACAGGCTTGGCACCACTCTTGCACTGAGTTGTGTCTAGGCTCGGATTTGAGACAGCAGACCCTGGGAAGCAAGCCCAAGCCTGCAGGACACCTCCTGGAAGTGTTGTCCAGATTCTAAGAGCCAGGAAGGCGATAAATGGAGTCAGGCTCAAATATGTGGAGCATTTCCACGTGTATGTGTGATGTGTGTCCATCCATTGGCATAAGATAATGCAAGTGATAGCCCTGGGCAGCATCCTTTAAAAAAAGAAGTTTTGGCTGTTGTTTTATTTAAGGGAGAAACTTTGTTTCAATGTTGATCTTTGGAAGGAATTTGACTATTTTCAAAGATGGAAAATATTGATTGGCAAATCCTTGACCCTCCTGGTGCCGGGAGAACAGAGCAATGCAGGAAGAGAGAAATGGATTTCTGCCATTGTCGTCCAACCCATTCAGTTGAAATGAGCTGTCCATGTGTGCCAAAGCCCTGTCCAGGAGTCGTGAGCTGCTCAACAAGTCAAATGCCTCTTTAATTTGTGTTATTGGAGTTTCTGTGCCTTTGGTACTTTTTGTAACAGAGCTGATCAACAAATGAGCCTGCATTGTATGAAGCCTGTTCATTTTCTGTCAGTTGTCATATAATGACTTGCCATGGAGACTGTTGTGAAAGAGAACTGTGAGAGATGGACAGGGCCCGGGCTGCCCAGGACACCTGCAGATACGGGTGCCATCCTCCCAAGGTGGCAGCAGTGTTCTGGCTGAAGAGTCTCTGAGCACATCAAGGAGTGAGCTTGGTGCCTTACTACAGCTCAGAAGATCAAACTAAGACTTTAGAAGCCCACACAGTTTCAACTTTTATCATAAGCAAAAACCTTCCCAGAAAGGTCCTTTGCAAAAGTTTTTTTGGGCCCAGAGTGATGGTCTAGTGGCTAAATCCTCACCTTCCATGCAGCAGGATCACATATGGGCACCAGTTCTTATCCTGCCTGGTCCACTTCCTTCCAGCTCCCTACTTGTGATCTGGGAGAGCAGTTGAGAATGGCCCAAAGCCTTGGGATCCTCCACCTGCATGGGAGACATGGAAGAAGCCCCTGGCTCCTGGCTTTGGATCAGCTCATCTCTGGCCATTGCAGCCACCTGGGGGAGTCACCCAGCAGATGGAATATTTTCGTTCTGTCTCTGCTTCTCTCTGTAAATCTGCCTTTCCAATAACTTAATATAAATTTTTTTTAAAAAAAAATATGTGCTTATTTATTTGAAAGACAGTGTTACAGAGAGATCTTCATCCACTGGTTCATTCCTCAGATGGTCACAATAGCTGGAGCTGGGCATGTCCAAAGCCAAGAGCTGCTTCCTGGGTCTCCCATGTGAGTTCGGGATCCCAAGGGCTTGGCTCATCCTCCACTGCTTTTCCAGTGCATGTAAGCTGGGAGCTGGAAGGGAAATGGAGCAGCCAGAACCTCAACAGGTGCCTGTGTGGGATTTGGGTACTGCAAGTACCCACCTGGCCTCACCTGAAGATGCTTAAGACAGCACTGCTAGAGTGTGAGTTGGAACGTGCACCATCTACCGTCACTTGTCATCAGGGCTACCTTGAGATGCTGTATTCTCTCAAACTTGAATCGTGTGCGGGAGGCAGGTTTGTGTCTATCCACGCTGCTCTGTGACACTTGAAGGCAGCCAAGTCCCTGACCGCCAAAAAATGTGCTTTGTTTATGAACCCAGCTTTTATTTCTGCGCACATGTGTCTTATGGCTTGATGTGTTGTACCAAGAGAACATTGAAAATAATGGATTACTTCAACACAGATTCCAAGGACGAAAAATGACAACAAGTGCATAGATATAAGAGTACATCCACAGAAATAAATACAGCCAGGGAGAACCTCATGGGTTTTTTTTTTTTTTTTCCTTCACACTTGCCTACAAGGGGAAATAGGAAGAGAAAGTCCTTGCCCAGAATAGTTCGTTCTGGAAGACTCAGAAGACACCTTCATTGCCAAGAACAGCCTGTTCTCTTGCCTGTTTCTGAGCTGGATGGTAATAAAAGAGAGGGGTGCTGCCTTTTTGGCACACAAATGTGGGAAAGGTAATTTCCCCGCAGATGTGTACAAAAATTCTTACTCCTTAATGGGGCCATTCCTTTATATTGGATGCCATAATGGCCCTTCATGTATTCCGGTGGTGAGTTTTATGGAATTTGGCTTGTGCGGTCATCAAACAAGCCATTGTAATAGATATAGCACTGAGATCTCAGGACCTTTGAAACAGTGCATGCCTTGTGGCTTCTCACACAGGAGTGTCTGTTTTCTGTTTGTTTGTTTGTTTTTCCCAGTCATTATAGACTTTTGCTTAGTCTTTATGACAGATATTGACCTAATGTGTGACATTTGTGCCGCTTGGCCATGGCTTCGGTGGAGACCCTGACTGTGATCCCGGGGCAGGGTTGTGTGTGTGAGTGGGGTGGGGGGGGGATTCCTTAAAAGCCCTACAAGTGTGCTGGACATTGAACTTGATAGAAGTGCATGCCGTGTGCCTTTGATCTGAGATGGGTGGCGAGTGTTAGGGGGCCTGACTTTTGACTATAAGTTTAGCACTTGCTAGACTGGGGAAAAAAAAAAAACACACACACCTAAATGTCAAGTGTGTCTCTTCAGTGAAAATAGAGAAGAAAAGAGAAAGCCAAGAAAAACCATCTGTGTGTTGTTAAATAACATTTGCTTCATTTGCTATATTGGAAACACTTTGCTTTTGTATATGCAAGAACTGTATTTGTTTTGAAAGAAGGGAGGAAAGAAAATCAACTTGTTGGCTATTGCTGCTTAGCTTCCTGCAAGACTGGCTCTTAAGAAGAATATCCGGTTTTCCATTCGGGCCTGGTGGCCTGGCTAGCCCCCTGAAATGCAGCCGTCCCCCAGTCCCAGGATTTGCTTCCCAACCTTGTGGAGACTCATACATTGCGTGGTTTTGTCTTTGCCCCCATGCAGATCCGGACCTGGGCATCGGCCCCCTCCCTGACCATGACAGCCAGGATGCCGGGCCCATTGTCCCCAAGATATCGGGTCTAGAGAGAAGCCAGGAGAAGAGCCAGGACTGCTGCAAAGAGCCTATCTTTGAGCCCGTGGTGCTTAAAGACCCCTGTGCTCAGGGCCCACAGCCACCGCTACCCCAGCCCCAGGCCGAGCCTCAACGCCCAGCTCCTTCTCCAGACTCCAGCGTGGTGCAGCGTCCCGAGGCTCCTCCCCAACCCCCGCCTCCAAGCACACAGCCACCACCAGGCCCCCCAGAGGCCCAGCTGCAGCCTGCCCCACAGCCTCAGGTGCAAAGGCCGCCCAGGCCCCAATCCCCGGCCCAGCTGCTCCACCAGAACCTCCCGCCTGTGCAGGCCCACCCTTCATCCCAGAGCCTTCCCCAGCCACTGTCAGCCTACAACAGCAGCAGCCTGAGCCTCAACAGTTTAAGGTGAGCCAACCTGTCTCTTTCTGACTCCCTCTTGCCCTTATCCTCCAAACTGGCATGGGGTCATGGGTGCAAGATTGCTAAAGGGGCGGGATGCACACACACACAAAACCCTCGTGGTTTGCCCTGGGGACTAACTGAGGTCTCTTGGGAAAGGACAGGTTGGGTTGGGTGCTGGGCACGAACAAAGAATTTAACAGCTCTGCAGGGAAAAGAATGCTTAAGAAATGGAGGCGGATGCTAGCGAGCGCTAATGCCAGCAAGGAGGCAAAGGCTGGGTGCCCCATGGGACTCAAGGTGGCCAGAAAGTAAAAAAAGACAGGGGAGGAAGTGTTAGAGAAAGCTGGTCCCCTGCAACCCTGGGGAGTGCTGTGCTTTGCCTTCAGCCTGGGTCAGAGAGGCAGGGAAGAGACAGGCTGCCATTGACCATGGAGGGCCAGCCCCTGTGCCCTCCCCCGTCACCGCCAAGCCATGCAGCAGCAGCATCTGAACAGCAGCTTGGAGAAGAATGGCCAACAGAACAGGGACAACCCTACACATGTGCAAGGCCAGGTGGGACCACCCGTTGGTGGTCTCGCCGCGGAGGCTACAGCCCTACACCCCTCCTGAGCTTTTGCACCTCAGCTACCTTGCTCTTGGGGAGCCTGGTGACATCAGTGGTTCATGGCCCGACTCTAGCTCTATCTTGTGTAGCACAGTTACAGACGGACTGGGTGGGGGTGCAGATTCTGCCCCTAAGGGGGCCAGGCCCTCTTCCAACCCTCCTATTCCCCCTTGCTGATGTCCAGACCATAAGCATGATGGGAGAATTCAGGACCTGTGTTCAGCTCCTGTAATAGAGCATAGGCAGCGTGATGATTGCTGTGTCTATTCAGCTGCCCCCATGATATTCAGGACTGGGCCAAGGTGGCAAGGCAGAGATGAATGGGTAGCCTCGGGCAGCAACAGCAAGGGGCTCGCACTGGCAGGGGAGCCTGGCTGGCTCTGGGCTGTGTCTCATAGCCTGTGTATGACTGTAGGGAGGTGTCTAAATGGGAAGGGGGTAGGACAGATCGTGTGGGGTGGCTTTGCACAGAAAACAGAGGGGGGCTTTTTTTAGTCCCATCTAAAGTTAAGAAATGGCTCACGTCTTTTTTGTGTTTCCTCTTCTTTTTCCCTTCTACCCACCACACAGCAGCAGCAGAAGCAGCACCCCAGCAAAGACACAAACCGCCCCTCCACACATCTCCCATCATCCCTCCGCTTCCCCCTTTCCCCTCTCCCTGCCCAACCACAGCCCCCTGCACAGCTTCACTCCCACCCTCCAGCCCCCCGCACACTCACATCACCCCAATATGTTTGCCCCTCCCACTGCTCTGCCTCCTCCGCCACCACTGACTTCAGGGAGTCTGCAGGTCCCCGGACACCCGGCCGGCAGTACTTACTCAGGTATGCTCCCCTCACACGCCGGCCCTCTTCCTGGGCCGAGTTGGCCCATGCTCATATACTGGAACCTCCTTCTCGGCTCCAACGCAGGCCCAGATCCAGCACCCGGAGATACCGACACACGTACTCATCCAGCGCCACTCTGGCGAGGCAGGTTAAGGCCAGGTTTGAGTCGAGTGGTGGATTTGGCAGTAGGAGAGGTCCCAGGTCCTTGAGGGCAAGCTCAGGTCCTCCCTGATGGGCCAAGCCCATGGCCCAGCTGTTGCCCTGTGTTTGGTTACTAAATACAGAGAGCTACACTGCAGCCATTGACCCTGGCCAAGGGCCTTGGAGAGAGCCATGATCTCTGAACAGCTGGCATTTAGCATGTGCCCTCTCCATTTGACACGAGGCAGTGTCATTGTCCTTACCTCTCGGAGGAGAAAAATACCTGGGACGCCGGATCGTTTGTCATACTTTTGTTCGCTCAGCAGGAGTGGCCAAGCTGGGACTCCAGCTCCACCCACGTGACTGTACACTCCATCAGCTGCCTGTCCCTGGTTGCCAAAGCCAGAAAGAAAACAGGGACATGGGACGGGGGGGTTGGGGATGACTGGACCTCGGTGTCCTCTGTGTCACAGGCTGTCCCCTTATATATCTCAAGATCCTGCAGCCCCCAGAGGTCCCCAGCTATTGTACTGTCCCCGAGGAATTGACCACTGCAGGACACGGTGTCATGATCACTCCCCCGCTTTTTTTTTTTCTTCTTTTCCAGAGCAAGACATCTTACGACAGGAACTGAACACGCGTTTTTTGGCCTCTCAGAGTGCTGACCGCGGGGCTTCCCTGGGCCCCCCGCCATACCTGCGCACCGAGTTCCACCAGCACCAGCACCAACACCAACACACGCACCAGCACACGCACCAGCACACCTTCACGCCCTTCCCCCACGCCATCCCGCCCACCGCCATCATGCCGACGCCAGCACCTCCCATGGTGCGTACCCCAGGCAGAAATGTGAGGATAAGTAGAACACGACTCTTTTCTTCATGCTGCCCAGGGGGAGGGTGGGCCGGGCAGCCGGGGGCCATGGGAGATGGGATGGGGAATGTTGGCCATCAGGGGGCTCCCTTGGCCTATCCATCTGTGCCCAGCTGACCCAGAATAGGAACTTTGCCCACATGGTTGAGTCCAGCACAGAGGGTGGGTTTTGTCCTAGATGCTCTCGGAGAGTCCGCCTCTGGTTATCAGTAGGTAACTTCTTGAAGGGCTGTTTGATTTTCTCGAACATTGTATTATCACCATGCATAAAACTGTACCTGTAGGGCCTTGCCACCGAGTGCCAACACAGGGGCTGTCCCAGTGGGGGGGTTGATGAAGAGAAGCAGGGAGAAGCTGCTTTGGGGGCCACCTGCTTTGTTCAGTTAAGTCAGAATTATAACTCCTAGCACCAGATTAGACTGCTGGGTCCCAGCATCCCAAGTAACAGTCTGGTCTCTTAACAGTGGGCATTAGAGTGCTGAATTTGCTTGGTTTTTTTTTCTATGTAATATTTGAATTTGACCTTTTAAAAGAAGATTAATTTATTAAATTTGAAAGTCGGTGGTGTGAGACAGAAAGAGACAGAGAGATCTTCCATCTGCTGATTCACTCCCCAGATGGCTACAATAGCTGACACTGGGCCATGCCAAAACCAGGAGCCAGGTGTGTCATCTGGTCTCCTCTGTGCATGGCAGGAACCTGAGGACTTGGGCCATCTTCCACTGCCTTCCCAGGCACATTAGCAGGGAGGTGGATCGGAAGTGGAACAGCCAGGACACAAACCGTCACCCATATGGGATGTCGGTGTCCAAGTGGCAGATTCACACGCTCTGCCACAACATTGACCCCAAAACCCAATTTTAAAGCAAATAATGTAGACGCTATGGAAATAGAATTAAATTTGTTGTTTTTTTTTTAAAGGAAACCCTTCACCTTGCTCTGCTTTTTGTTTCTTCCTCTTCTGTTCCTTCACTTGAGTTTTTATGTATACATGTATGTTTCAAAGGCAGAGTGGCACACAGAGAACTGTTTCATACCCTGGTCCCATGCCCCAGGTGGCCCCAACAGCCAGGGTTAGGTTAGACACAAGACAGGAGTCGGGAGCTCCATTCTGGTCCCCGCCCCACCTCCATGGGGACAGGGACTCAAGCACATGAGCATCTTCCATTGCACTTGGCAGGTTGCTGAGTCGAAGCCGGCATACCTGGAACTTGAACCCACATTCCACTAGGAGCAGCCAGAGTCACAGGCACAGCTTAACCGACTGTTCCACAGCACCATGGGTTGTTAATTCGTTTTCTAGATTTTAATTTAGGAAATATCAGAGACAAATCTCCTGAAAGCAAAACAATGGTATGACAGATTTTGACCAGCGGAACTTCTCAGTTACGTGTAAGAGGGTGTGATAGTTTGAACAAGTTTTTTTTTTTTTTTTCTGGCCCTTAGAAGCTGCTTCGCAGGTAAATGCGATTGAAATACAGGTAGTTAAGCCGCAGTGTCCTGGGGAACAACACATTCCAGCCAAATTGAGGACAAAGTGGAGGGGAGGCTCTAGCAACGGAAAGCTCACTTCTCTCCATCTTCTCCAGAGGAGGTGTTAGCTTGGCCCCAGGCTCTCACTCGTGGAGTATAGGGACAGTCTGGTTAGGGTATCCAGGACCACACCTAGTACCCTGCGGGATTTTCACTTTCCTTCTCTTGCAGAGGAGTTCCCTGTTAGAGACTCAAGAGCCCACCCCCTCCAGTGGTTTCAGATAAGAGGCTTGCTGTAGGGCTTACCTCCAGGGCAGTGAACAGAAATGCAGATGAAGTAACTAGCTTTTGCTTTGATCCCTTTTGCAGTTTGACAAATACCCTACAAAAGTTGACCCATTCTACCGGCACAGTGTGAGTCCTTGTTCCCACGCTACCCATTGAATGTAACCGCTTTTCCATTTTTGTGCTCTTGCTACAGATCAGTAAGTGACCAGCAGCTTCCCTAATCATCCTTGCAAGAGTTCCCCCTGCTCCTTGTCACTCTGGATGCTTGCTTTTGTGGCATTTCGCTTTGGGTAAAGATGCAGTATCATCCTCTGAATCAAAAAATCATAAGCTTTCCAAAATCCTTGAAAGCAGAGTTCTTAGGAGAGCCTGCAATCTGAGCGGAAACGCACAGAATTCCTGCGACTCAACTCAATTGTTTTCCTCCAACTAGAAAGTCCCTTATCTTTTTTTGACTTTTCCAAAAAAGCGGGTTTGCGTTGGCTGGAGGCTCGCTGTAACAACTGTCCTCGCTGTGACAGGTGCTGTGCTCCTGATTTTACTCAGAGTGAAAATAAAAATGTCCAATTGAAAGACTTCACTTTGAGACAAGAATTGGTTTCCCCTGGGGGAGAATCAAAACAAAACAAAACAGCTCATTCTTTTAAGCTCATACTTTTTTTTTCAAAGATTGCTGTTTTATGCAGTTTGGAGAATACCTTGGAGAGTTTAAATTGGTACCAGTCCACTCACTCGTTCATATGTTTAGTAGCTGTAACACAAGGGCTGGTTTTGATACAAATTTCTTGAACATTTTACCATGATATTTTGATTATGAGATGAATACTGCATCGCTTTTATCTGAAAATTTGCAAGTTTCTTTGCTCAGTGGTTTATTTATAATTCTTAATGAACCCCCCCAAAGGAAGGTTAATAACTCATAGCCACGTTGATTGACCATACCCAATTATTCTTGCTTTGATTTTTTTGATAGTATTATCATTTGAGTGGAAGTAAGACTTAGCAAAAACTCTTCCTTCGCACTCTGAATCGGATAGGACTGTATTTAAGCTGAAGAGCAAAAACGAGAAGATACGAAAATCAAGAATGACTTATCTGCTATTTTAGAAAGAATGTGGGAGAGTGCTCTTCCCAAAGGAATTAGGACTTGGTAGTTGGCTTTGTTCTGCCCAATAGTGTGATACAAAAATGCCGTGCAAAGTCTGAATTGTCTGTGGGTTCCTTCTTTGGGTCTGTCCCCTGAATGGTGGTTTTCTGCCCTTCATCTGTACTTTACAACTTAAATGGAAGGCCAGCTAACAAAAACAGTTCTTCTAGAAAGTTGAGTGGGCTCAACAGGTGGCTCGCATTTCCTTCTTAAGGCCATAGACAATGAGTGCCTTTCTGTCTGCACAGCTCGCAGAGTGTAAGATGGAGAATGAGCCTGGAGCCCTCAAGTTTTGGAAAGTTTTTGTTTTGACTTACTTGCTTCCGGTTTTTAGTCCAAAAGGGAATAAAGAGCTCTGTTTCTATTCAAAAGAGGTCAGGGGCTTAAGGAACATGGGAAGAACATTCCAGATTTTCTTTTCTTTCTGTCTCTCTCTTTTTTTTTTTTAATTGTAAACATTAAAGGAGAAATGCCCACCTGGAGGCAGAGTAATAGAAATTGGAGTGTGTTTTATTGTGGCATGTCTTTAATTACTCGGCTTTCTAAGCGTGCTGTGGGAGAGTTCCTTCATGTTATTAGTCATAGCGGATAATACATGAAGTACTTGGTGTCTCTCCCCTGCTTTGGGGATTAGGATGTTATAAGGGGAATTAAGATGCAATGCTCTCAAGTATCTAAAACACAATTTTAGACTTAAAAGTAGTTTTAAATGAGGGCACTTGGCTTGCAATCACTGTTTAAGTGGATTTAGTTCAATATCAATTAGTCTGAAAACCTTTGCTGCATCGTTGAAGGGAGCAAGATGAAATAAAGACCAATAGGAAAAAAAAATATGTGTATGTGCCTAGCAAACAGATAACATTGCTGCAATGTGAATTTCTGTCATTACCACTAATAGCTAACGTTAGGAAAGGCTTCCGTTATGGCTTTGAGTTGGCTATACCACACAGCTGTAGGCGTGGGGGTGTAACCATTGTGCATGGACCCAGAGCAGCAGAGTCTGAGAAATGTTAAAAATGTTACCGAAAGAGGAAGCTGTGTGTGTTGTCTTCAGTATCTGCTGTCTATGCGTCCCTCCACTGCACCTAAGTTTGTGATTCCAGAAAACTCCTGTCCTTCCTTCACAATCTTTCTTCTCCCTTCATGAAGTGGTCAGACCCACACATGCAGGAACTGGCCTCAGCAGCCCCCAGCCCGCTTGCCCTTGGCCTTTTAGCTATGGTTTAGAACTGGCTGTAAGTGAGAGACCTTCGTGTGCTTACTACAGACGCGCTTTGAGCGCCTGTAAGTCCGCCACTGGCAAGTAGAGCCGGGTGGTTTCTGTGCTCTCAGAATCTGTCGGGGAAAAAAAATGGCAGCTCTGTTGAACGTATAGGCTGAGTCTTTAGTTTTACCCTTCCGCCAATATTTGTCATCATCTTAGATGAGAAAATTAAATTGTCCTCCGAAATTGCCACTTCTAGAACAACCTAATGGAGCAAGGATTGTGAATATGCTGTCATTTCCTCAAACTATCAAACTCTAAAAGTACTAATTGAGTTTTAATGGCATCACATTCTAGCACTCATGAAGACTTACTTTTTTTTTTCTTCCTTCCCCACCCCCTCTTTTTTTCTTTTTCTTTTTTTCTAATTAACTTGTAATTTTCTGGGCATCTTATCTAGCTTAGCATCCCTCCTGTTTTCGATATGCATTAAAATCTCCAACCATTTAGGACTTCTATTCAATTTACCCATTAATAATTAGAAAAACTCCCTTCCTAATGATGTCCTCATCTGGGACATCATTTGTTGGCTGATTGATTCTGAACTACTTTTAACTTTCGCAGTGAAACATCCGTGGCACATCTGTGTGATCATTTCATCATGGCTTCTTGACTAATAGCAGCGAACTGAGATTACTTGGCTTGCTAATGTGATGTCTTTCTATGGGGAGGGAATTTGAATATATCACTTGCCTCCTACTAAAATCGTGTTTTTCCCTCTCCATCTCTGGCCACAGCTCTTCCATTCCTATCCTCCTGCAGTATCGGGCATACCCCCTATGATCCCACCCACTGGCCCTTTTGGTTCACTCCAAGGAGCATTTCAGCCTAAGGTAAGAAGCCTTACAGCGAAAGCACACACAGGCATGTTTCTGAGTGCAGCCCCAGGCCAGGCGTGCAGGTGGATTCTGCAACCCTCCCCCTCCCGCTGCCTGCAACGCGACTGAATTTGTCAGATCCAAAGTGACCCTGGGCATCAGAGTGAGACGATTGTTTTCAACCTCAGCAAGGAAAAACAAAAAACCCCTCAATTTTCAATCAGCAATACCCATGTAATCTCAGTTGAGCTAAGATTTCCTGTGCACTTTAAAATGTGCGGAATTTATATATGCGTGTGTATATATACATATATTTATATGTATGTATGTATATATTTCCTACCAAAACTGTAGGCCTTAAGGTTCACTGGTCAGGAACTCTGTGAAATGTCAGACACATGTGCACCAAGTTGTCCTCAAAGGCTAGGATTTTAACAGATGCAAAGCTGCCTATTGATTGTAGCAGAAGAGGCTGGGGGATGAGGCTTTAGCCCGCTAACATTGTAGCCTGTTCTTGGTGTCCAGGGAGTCATCTTCCCACTGTGCCCTCATTTCCCTCCAGAGCCCTGTCAACCCTGCAGGTGTGTGTTTCCCCTCCCTCTGAACTCTGTCTTCCCACCCCACTTGCCTCGGTCAAGGCATTCTCAGTTACTAACATCCTAGCGGGAAATGGACCTATTGCTGTTTGCAATATATTGAAGTTTCTACGTAGCCAAGGTCAGTGCAGTTCAAGTTGGGCCACAGATCAATATTGAAGAGTAATTGTGCAGAGTACTTCACCTTTTGAAATCTGGACACAGCCCCCCACCCATTTGACTTCCACACAAAACCACAGGCGAAATTCCTCCACTGGTAACCATTCTCAGGGTGTAGCGTAAGATACTTTGCTGTGTTTGATTTCCGCTTGGTTTGGCTTCTTTTCTCTCCCTCATCTCATGCAGTGTAGGACCAGACTTTCCCAGGATGAACACGTACTACTTTTCCAAAAGCCACGTTACCTTAAAAGTAGAAACAAGGAGAGAAATTAGGGGGCAACCAGGAAAGGCCTGGAAGGCCACTCCTGCCAGGCATGTTCACCTCCCTAGAGCTGTGTCGGGTAGGCAAGCAGGCTTTGTGATGACCCTGCTAAAATCCCTCCTATCTTGAGATAAAAGCATGGTGACTTTTCAACAACTTTTCCCCCTCCTCCCTTCCCCCCATTTGATCTTCAGAGCTCCCCCAAGGCTGTGGTCTGTCCCCTTTGGTTGCCATTGGCCTCTGATGGATCCCCAAACAGGCTGGTGGGTCATTTAATAAATTAGGCCATTTCCCTCACTCACAATTATCCAATCACACAGAAAACTACATCTGGGCAAGAAATTGTCTCTGCTGGTGTTGAAATGGGCCTTTCCAGGCCATCTTACTGATTGAATATGTAGAATGCAGCTCATTAACAGAGTTCTTCATATGTATGCAAATCAGGCTGTTAACAACTCCAGCCTAATTGTTAGTTGTACTGCAGCTGATTGCTTTTCTTTCTTTCATTCTCTCCCCCTTCCCACCCCACCCCACCCCTTTCGCCTCGTAGGCAAGGCTTCTGCTGAAACTTGAGCTCTTTTTCCAGATGAGTTCACTTGCTGATGTGGAGGGACCCACAAAAGTTGTGATTTCTTCAATAAAATAACTGGTGCTATTTTTTTTCTAGAAGCCCTTCCTAATGGAAAGTAGTGACTGTGCCCAAAGTGGGTTTTTTGTTGTTGTTAATTCAGAGGACAAAAGCCTTACACAGAAGGTTAATATTGTTAGTGATATTTAAGAATAGTGGAGGGAATAAGACAGACGAGGCAGAATTACCAGAGAAATCATTTAATAGTAGATCTGGGTGGTCCCTAAATTGGGTTCTCTTGTCCCATTTTCCACCACCGCTAATGAGTAATTATGGAGTGGTAATTCCTTGTTATTATCTGCCCGTTAAAATGTAGAGAGTTGGCCTAATGTCTGCAAAGATGCTCTCCGTTATTCTGATGAGAGGCACCTGATACTGCAAATTATAATAATGTTCACTTAAGCATTTCTTGCAATGCTTAGTGATAAAGCAGCAACAAAACCATGTCAGTCAGTACTATGAGTTCCCCAAGAGGAAGAGGAGGCTGTGGGCTGCAGATGTGTGTGTGTGTGTGTGTGTGTGTGGCTTTTCTCGCTGCTCTGTGCTTTTTTCTGCATGAAAGCTGCTGGGGACTGCCTCTGCTTGTACCTGCCCTTGCCAGGAAGGCTGATACCTGGTCAGGACCCTGTGAGAAGCCACCAGCGCGAGCCCGACACAGGTTCATGTTCGTGGCTCAGAGTAGAAGGCAGGCCTTCCTGATGGTTTGTGCTTCCTAAACCGTGTCCTCCTTCATTTGTAGACATCCAACCCTATTGATGTCGCTGCTCGGCCAGGGACAGTGCCACACACCTTACTCCAAAAGGACCCAAGGGTAAGTACCGAGTCAGTCTTGTCTCAGGTAACCCCAGGAGCAGAGGGGCACATATTATCCCTGTCCAGAACACACACCTTGCATAGCGCGTGTTATGGGAGCAGGTGCTGTTCACGTCTGTGGAGAACAAGTGGCCCTTAGGAAACAAAAGTCTGCTCTGTCATAGCCACGTCCCCAAAGGGACTGGCTAGCCACTGGGAATGGCTTATGATCTTTACCCAGAAAGTAGGCGCTGGCAGCTTCAATGGTTTCTACTTGTCTGCTTTTCTCTGCGTGCAACTCCTTAAGTTTTGCTCACTCCAAAGAGAGCTGTGAGTCGTTTGGAATGGAAAGACACGAAGTCAGGACATACACACACACGTGCGCACACCCTCTGGTTGGGGTCAGGATGTGGCCACACCTACCATACAGCAATTCTGGACTATTTTTAGTGTGTTAGGGAGCCTGCTATGCTGGAGAGCTAAGCAAGATATCCATTATGCATAATGTGTACTGCGACCAACTTCCAAAAAAAAGAATTGGAAGTTGGTATGACCTTGGCCCATTGATGGATGGTTCTTCCCGTTTCTCTTTAGAGTGAATGAAGATTGAATAGAGTGAATGTAATCAGAAACGAATGGCCAGGGTTGGGTGGGTGTTTACAGTGACTCAAGAATGCGATGTATTTTTGTGATGTTTCGTGCACTTCTTGGAACCCTCTGCTACTTGTCAGTAATGGGTATATCGGTAAAGAGAGCCCACTTGTCGTGCAGGTCTTCCCAGGACACCAAAGTCCCTTACTCCCCATTCAGTGTGGGCCAGGCAGGAAGGGGCCAGCTCCTCTTGTGTGTCACACATACATACAGGGAGCCAATCTTGCTGCCCCAGGGCGTGTTGCCTTTGATTGAGCTTGCCAGGGGACTTGTCAGTCTCTCTGTTTGGAGGCTCCTGCCATGGGGGAGGGGACACTTAGCACTTTTGATGGTGTGAAAATGGGTTAATGATTCTCTGAAAGGCCTTCATTTAAAAGTAAAATTCTAACATTTTAATTTCCCCTCCTAATGAAGCACTACAAATTTGTTAATTAGAGCAATTGTTTGAGTGACAGGCATGTAACCAAGTTGTCATTTTCTCTTCACAGTTGACAGATCCTTTCAGACCTATGTTAAGGGTAAGAACGCTTCTTCTAGAACTTGTTCTGCAACCTCCCTGTGACTCCTGGTGGGTTAAAAAATATAAATCCATGACAAGGAAGTAAGCCATCGAAATGTTAGAATAAAACCTTAGAGCCTTGGTGTTTGCATTTTTTTTTTTAAATTCAGGTACATGTGATTGAAAATGGCCTAAATTAGCTTGCTTTCATTGTCAGGACACTCCAAGCCAGTTTCTTCTATAGCAGAGAAAACTCAGATTCTCTTGTCCGAGTCAAAGCTTTGACCAGTCGGAAGTTAAGAAGAAAGGGCTCAACTTCTGGGCTGAAGTTAGTCTCTCGGGTGCAGGAAAACAAAACAAAACAAAACAAACAAAAAAAAAAACCACGTTGAGCTGCATTTATCTTGGCTGGCGGCTCCCCATTCTGCATGGAGAGAGGTGGTGACTTAACGTGGCCACTTGACCTATTTCTCTGTACAGGAGGAGGATGCTATAAACATGGGTTTATTGACCTCTTGCCCAATTGAAATGGCCTCAAGATCCAGAGATGGGCTGGCAAATGTCCTGAGAATGAATGCTGATAACGGGGCAGAGGGTGGAGGACAGACCCGACACGATGCTTGAGTGGATAGACCATGAGTTCCCTGCTCTACTCAGTCCGTTCCTACTGCATCTGAGCAGATGGCTTCATTTCTGCAGAGGGAGAAAAAATGCTCACGGGATGAAGCCGTGTACTATTTGTGATTCTGGATGGCCCAGAATTTGACTGCGAGAGAAAAGAACGGACCCCAGCCTGCAGGGGTCTCAGTAACTATTTCAGAAACAGCTTCTTAGTATAGAAGCCGACACGGCAGAAGGGGGCTGAGTTTTTTTGGTACAGAGCATCCATTCTGAACTGTGGGTCTCAAGTGGAGCAAGGTGTCCCTGCCCTGCACCTGCAGTTACCCTGCTGCTGCTCATAAGGTGTGAGACAACGCGAGAGACTGGGACCCGTGCACACTCCCAGAGGGCAGGAAGGACTTGAGACATGCAGAGACCTAGACAGTAGAAGGAAGTAGGTCCTTTCTTGAACTGTCCGGCAACCATCATGAGTTGACAATCAACTCTTGGTGAAGCACTTGCAGTAGCTAGTCATGAATTTAAAAAAAAAAATGGGAGGTATTTCTTGATGCCGCTCGGGGGTTAAAAATGACACCGGAGGAGGTTACTCTGGGTTCTGTCCCCTCTCTTGTTTTGATTTGATTCACAGACATTCTCTAATTAGCTCTTCTGAACGGCTGATTTGCATTAGAGCATGGCAGCATTTGTTAAGTAGGTCCTCCTACTCTGCCAGGCCTGCCAGCTGGCACCAGAAGAGAGAGTCAGAGACAAAGTAGGATTCAGGCCTTTCCCATCTTGTCCTTGGTAACCAGGGAGGACCTGAGCAAGTAGGGTTTTCTGGTTCTCTGGGCCATAGCCAAGATCTCCAGCTCATGTGGGAAGAGCGGGGAGCCCACTGTGACTCCCTTCTGACGGGGCTTGGAGAGCTGCTGAGCGGAGGCGTTGGGAGGGTATAAAGTGCTCTTGTTCCATGAAAGGAGCCTTCGGAGCCAAATCCCGCTGAGAGCTTGGGGGACATGAAAGGTGATTTTTTTTCCCCCCTGAAATGTCTTTCCCCTGCCCCCAACCACGTTGCTCTCTCTTGTTCCAGAAACCAGGGAAGTGGTGCGCCATGCATGTTCACATCGCCTGGCAGATTTACCACCACCAACAGAAAGTCAAGGTCAGTGGCTACCTTCCTGGTGGGGAAGGAGTGGGGCGCTGGGGTATGGGAGCACGTGGATCTGCTCAGGAGAGCCTGATGACGGGACAGGGCGCGGAGAGCACAGATTCTGAAGACTCTGTAAGCAAGGACGACCAACTCCCTCTTGGGGAAGCTTTTTGGAAACCACCAGCAAAATGATGAAACAAAAATGAACTAGCTCCTTGGTGGTGTCTTTCGCTTCGTTTGGGTTTTTGTTGTTGTTGTCGTTATTTTGTGATCCAAAGGATTAAACAGTGAATTAAATTCTAAAGTACAGGTTTGGGGAACCTATTTGTAGTGGCTAAGAATTAGAATATGGCAAATATTGAGTATTAGGGAAGACCTATAGAGAATTGTTGTCGTATGTGTATATGTCAATATCAATTGGTACATTATTTTCATTTTCTGACCTTGGAAAATGATAGCCATTTTATGTCGCGTACAGGATGATGCTACAAGACTGCCATTAAGTCATGCATATCACTAAAAATGACTCTTCTAGAAGTAGTTATCAAGTTTGCAGGGAACCTTTCACTGGGCCTCCCAGGGGCCAGGAGCAGGGTCTGGAATGTGGTCTGTGTCAGAACCATGTGGCCAGCACCCGAGCCGTCCACAGGTGGTACTTGTATTTCATGTTCTCATCAGACATCCATCATTTCTTCTCTGCTCGCCGGTGGTGCAGCAGGAAAGCCATGAAGACACACCTCGTGTCACCTGACTGGACACACATGTGTGGCAGAGGCAGCAAAGGGAGGAACTGACAAGCCCAGGATTTCCAGTCCTGGAGCCCATAAGTCTGTATAACAAGGCTTGAAAACTGAGTCATTCCAGCAGACCCCATGAATCCACTTCCTTAGGAAGAAACCTGTTAGCCCTGACAGCTTCTGGGCACCGTCCTAAGCATAGTAGAGAAGGGAGATGAACAGAGCAGAAGGGAAGTGCTTTGTAAAGCATTGGATGGCTTTTTTAGAAACAACCTGGTTAAAAGCATCACCTGCTTCAATCGCCCGAATACTGGCTGATGCTCTTAACATTGCACCAGTGAGTTCTGCTCACTCTGACTTAATGGTTAAGCCAGGCTTAATTAGCAACCTCAAAATGGAGCTCAGTGAGAAGATGTGATGCTCGGAAGAGCCAAATGGCTCGTTGGCATGGCAATTGGCTCAGCTCATTTTCTGCTCTGGTTAATGTGGTTTGTGCCATGCTTATAGGTGAGATGTACTTTCCTTGTGCCTCCTTGGCTGAGAAGCAACGGAAGTTATCTGCAAGAGCGCCCCTTGCCACCTCAGCTTCCATCAGGCGATGCAGTCAGGCCTCTCGAACACGAGGCTCCTCCGTTCACTTTTCTGTTCCAACAGACCATGTGTAATCCCCGTGTTCCATTCTGCTCCGTGGGCCTAACTTACGCTTAATGGAACTGTGCTGTGTACCATGCGATATTAGCACTAAATAATTTGGTGCCCCAATTAAATGAGGTACTCAAAACATTTTTAGAGATTTACAGTGAATTAGAAGCTTGGTTTGGAAGGTTTGGCTGTTACTGGATGGTGGAACTTTCATTACAGTATTCCCTATAGATCTGAGTAGAAATTACCTCTTCTCTTCTCCCTAATGTTCAGTTACCCATTCTTTTAGTCACTCCCCAAGTATTGTTGAGAAAGCCTCCCGCTGGCTCCCTGCCTGCTTGCTGGCCCAGCCTCAGAAGGCCTGCGTCTTCACAGCTACTTACTTGCTGAGTAACAATTTGGGTGTGTCTATTAAAAGTGATCAAAGAGGGCCTGGCGTGCTAACCTAGCAGCTAAAATCCTTGCCTTGCATGCGCCAGCATCCCATATGGGCGCCGATTCTAATCCTGGAAACCCCACTTCCCATCCAGCTCCCTGCTTGTGGCCTGGGAAAGCAGTCAAGGATGGCCTAAAACCTTGGGACCCTGCACCCGCATGGGAGACCTGGAAGAAGCTCCAGGCTCTTGGCTTCAGATTGGTGCAGCTCTGGCCATTGCGGCTGCTTGGGGGAATGAATTAATGGATGGAAGATCTTTCTCTCTGTCTCTCTGACTTTCTAATAAAAAAATAAATCTTTAAAAAAAAAAGTGATCAAAGTGTCTTGTTCTCCCAAGAGTTATAGTTTCCACCTTGAAATACTTGCATAAGCCTTCCTTTAATTTTTTAAAAAACATTTATATGAAAGAGACAGAAATCTTGCATCACTCTTCAAATGCCCAAAACAGCCAGGGCTGGACGAGGCAAAAGTTTAACAGCCAGGAAGTTAATCCAGTCTCCCACGTGACTGGCAGGGGCTCAAGCACTTGAGCCATCTTCTGCTGCCCCTACCAGGGTGCACACTGGTGAGAAGCTGGGGTTGGAAGAGATGCTGAGAGTCAAACCCAGCCACTTTGATATGTGCTGTGGGCTCCCAAGTGCTGCCTTAGTTAGGGCTACACCAAATGCTTGCCCTTGCGTTTCCCTTGGGACCCAAGAGCTGAGTGAGTAGGGGTTTTTAACCCTGAACATTTAGTAAGGATATGGCTAGGTTCTCGTCGTCCGTGGGTCAGTATGCATGTTTCCTCGGGGCGGCTTCCTCTGGGGGTCACAGCAGCACAAACAGAGCCCAAACGGTGAGGGAGTTTGAGGTGGAGCAAGGATGGGACCTCTGATGAACGTGAGATTGGAACAGAGTGAGACTCTGGAGTGGGCAGTGGAGGGGCGCGAGAGCAGAGGCAAGAGAAGGGCAGCCAGAAGCCTCAGGTGCCAAGGCCCCAGCCCAACCTAGGAGGAGGTCCATTCCAGGAGATGATGGGGAGCCAGGTTCCATAGCTTGAGAGCAGTGAAAGGTTGCAAGTCAGAGGAAGCCGGAGCATTTATGATGTGCTGGGTTGAGCTGCCAATTGCAATACCAGCATCCCCTATCATTGTCGGTTCAGGTCCCAGCTGCTTCTCTTCTTGTGTAACTTCCAGATAATACGTTGAGGAAGGATGGGGAGGATGGCCTAAGGTCTTGACCCTCTGCTGCCTCGTAAGAGTCCTGGGTTTTGTCCCAGGCTGCCAGCTTCACTCTGGCCCAGTCGTGGCTATTAGGACCATTTGGGATGTGAACCAATGGTTGAAAGATCTTTTTCAGTGTCTTCCTTTTTATCTCTGCTGCCTTTCACATTAAATCAGTAACTAACAAGAACAAAGAGTGAGCCCCGTGCACAGCAAGGGGTTGTATTACGTTATTCTTGCTAGACCAACCCCCCCTCCTCCTCTTCCTTCCATTGTTAATGCTAAGAGAAAAAGAAAGGGCCCCTATTAGCTAAATTAATAACCCCACTTCATTTTTGTTTGTTTTCAGAAAATAACATAACAAGGATTATTTGAAATTAGCTTGTAGGCATGCAAATATTTCTTCATAACATTCCGTTACTAATGGACTATGATCCGTTAGAGTACGGCAAAGAATCATTAAACAATTAATTTACACAGTAGATTATTCATGCAGAATTCCTAATAAAATGAGCTTTTAAAATACTATCCTTTGAAAACTGGCTGAAGTGGGTCTACACAGCAACACAATATACCTCTTTCAGGAACAGCGGCCATGGGTGTCCGCAGCATACGTTTAGAGTGTTCATGTTCTGAGCAGCCCCAAAGATCAAACGCTGTTTTTGCCATTTGCCACACTGCTCATGTAAGAAATGGGCACTGCCCCCGTGGTGGGCACTGATGACTGGGCTCGGGCCACACTGCTTCTTGATGCTTGTGGGTTCGCTGGTTGACGAGCAGAGGCTTTCCTATGTTTATGAACTTGAATCTCTCCGGCTGTCCGTCTGTGCTGCTCACCTTGACATCTTCCTCTTATTCCCCTTGGTGCCGCAGAAACAGATGCAATCCGACCCACATAAACTGGACTTTGGACTGAAACCGGAGTTCCTGAGCCGCCCTCCAGGCCCCAGTCTCTTTGGAGCCATCCACCACCCCCATGACCTGGCTCGGCCTTCGACTTTATTCTCTGCTGCCGGTGAGTTCAGAAGGGAGAGCAGGCAGTGATGGTGTAGTTCCCAGGCAGCTAAGGAAGTCATGGTTGGGGTCTGTTGGCCACTGTTCAGTCACCCCATCAGCTGGCACAGTCGATGCCAACTTGGAGGCAGCGTCTCAGGCCTGAGAAGGCCATGGGTCTTTCTTCGCTGCTGTAGCTTCTTGTAGTAAGGAAGCAAGCAGAAGTCATCTTTCCCGTAAGGGAACTTGGGTTGGTTCGCTGTTTGAACCTGTATTACACTGCTGTCATTCACAAACATGCCAGATGCTATTGAAAAAGATCAGAAAGCTTACAGCACGGCTCAGAAGGCAACAGGAACCATCTAGGGCTGTGGCTGTCTAGACACCGGGCGCCCCCGGAGCACTCTGATTTTGCACCCTGAAGTTGAGTCATGCCGTGCTATGATGCTCTGAGGATAAAGAAACAGCAGCGCGGCTGTACTAGGGAGGGGCGTCCACTTGCCTCCTAGCATTCTCCATTACAGAGCTTCAACTTGGGCGCCCAGTTGGCTGTAATGATGCAGGGACAAGATAACAGCACACTATTCTTTGGACCGCTGACCTGTATGCCAAGTCTTTTGACTTGCTTAACCTCTGGGCACACAGAAGGCAGGAATGAGCACCAATGTGTCAGAGAATAGCCCTTTTCTGCTCCAAGCACGCACACTCCAAAGGCCGTGGGAGACGGAGCAGCGGGCAATCCTCTTGCCGCCCGGGGTTCTGGCAGCGCACCATCCCCAGCATCCCGTTCTGCTTAGGAACTCCTTGGAAGGAGACACGGCATTGAGCTCATGCCAGGAACAGACTCTGGACCTTGGTACCCTCTGTGCTAAGCAGGACTTTTTCTTCTGGTCGCAGCCAGGGGCTCCCTGTCTGTAATCCTCAGGGGACAAGTTGCACACCCAACCTGCCCACTGTTTCCCTGGGCTTTTATCCCAACCTCGTTCCCTCTTCCTGAGCCCCTGGCATCTCCGTTTAAGAAGAGGGAAACATGCTCATTGCAAGAAAGCATCCCGGCAACAGGCCTCGCTGCCAAAGCAGAGGAAGCATGTGGAAGGGGGACGGATTCATCGAGGTCTTGGGTTTCTGTCTAGGGACACATCTGAAGGCCCGTTGCCATGGCACCGAGGCCCTGCAACCGGCCCACATGAAGAACAATCAGGGGAGAGAAATAGAGAGATTTCTCCCTGGCTTCCATCTGAGCCAATTGGAGGAAATGGCTTTTTTTTTTTTTTTCCTCTTGCTTCAGTGACTCTGGAACTACCAGCATCCCTGGGGACCAAGCTCTGGTCTTCATGGAGGCATTAATTAGCTTGTATTACACGGACAGTCCGTGGCCAACATCATACTTCGCTGGCAAGGCACTGGGGATGCCTAATGACTGTACCTATGTGATTTCGCTCTGTGGAGAAGGGATGTCATTTTTGTGCCTTCACAGCTAGAAGAGGCGCCACTGTCCAGGGCTAGACAGCCAACTCCACCCCCAGGTACCTGTGGATTCAGAGGTGCCATGCCCGTGACTTCCCCAGTCCTGTGTGGCTTCCTCTGCCAGGCTGGGCCCACAGAAACCTTGCAGCCCAAGAACCTAACTCAAGTACTGGGTGATCCCTGCTCCCTCAGTCCCCAGCCCCCAACATTTAGTTTGTTTCCCTACAGGAATTTTACGCTTGTTTATAGGAACTTTGAGAACAGGCAAGGGACTATGCAACAGCGATTAGCAAATCCATTAATTCAGGCCCTGTTTTGGCTTCTATTCCAGAAGGTAATCTTTTCCAGCTTAAACAATATTGGATTTTACCCAAAATGGTTATTTGGTTCAGATGTTCAGACCGGTATGTAGAACTTGTGCAGGCTTGTAAACTGCAGCCACTTTCATCTGCCTGCGGGTGCTGACGCCTGAAATAAACAGAGAGGCTTCAGCGGTGACCTTGGCAAACCTTTCGTCTGGAGCCGTGCATGCTTCCCCGAGAGCCGCCTCCATGCTTTGACGAGCCCATGGGATGCCCAAAGCATTGAGAAATACTGCCCTTCCCTGATTCTCAAATGCATTCTCCTTCCCTCTCTCCCTCCTTCCTTCCTTTCTCAGCCTCTAAGAAATGCATTGGAGGCGTCCTGAAGGAACAATGTTGCAGGCTGTCTACTAAGTAAGGGAAGTGCTGATGGACAAGACAGAAACCTAGGGAAAGGAGAGGACTAATTTGATCCACGTCCCCTGGCACTTTTAGCAATAAAGACTGCTTAAAGTCAGTCCATCTTAACAGTTTTGGGTTTGGAAAATATTCTAGTTAACTAGCTTTTCCTGGCGCAGGAAATGGAGAGTCCTGGGCAGATTTCAAGGCTTGTAATAAACTGGGTGTCTCATAGTCGTGCAAGGGCCCAGAGAAGCACAGCCCAAGTCTGTAGCTCAGGACGTCAGCTCCTGGGCCAGCGAGGAAATGGTGCCTGGCGCCAAGGCTCTGGAATGAGGTTCTGGGATGAGATGCCCAGAGAAGAATGCATCTCATGGCCAGACATTACTCTCAGCAAACCAATGTGCGTGTGAGCACCCTGACGCCCCAGGGAGGAGCCTGGCTTCACAAACTCTTCTAAATCACAAACCCTTCAAACCTCGCTCCGCTGTGGCACCTCCCCACTTCCACTGTGGGCCAGCAAGTTCCCACTGTTGAGTCTCTTTTCTGGGTGGTAGCTAGGCGAGCTGGCAGGAAGGGAAAGGGGTGGGTCATTTGCTGCTGCTCCACAAGAACATCTTCTGGAACCTGGCATAGGAGCCTGGGCTGGCTTCAGCCATGCCCACCCTTTCCCAACCTCTCCCGGGGTGAAGGTGCTGGTGGGAGGCGGGGGGGGGTCTTTCCGCAAGTTGCAGCCACGTTGGCTTTTGGTTGGGAGAAGCCTGATGTTGTCACGGCCTGGCCTGGCTGTGGCTGATGTGGGGGCGTCTGATTCTCGTAGGTGCTGCACATCCAACCGGGACCCCTTTTGGGCCACCGCCTCATCATAGCAACTTCCTCAACCCTGCCGCACACCTTGGTGAGTTGCCCGTTCACTGCTGGGGAGCTGGCATGCACCTTTTAGACAAGCCCCTGCTTGCCTGGCCACCCTCGGGTTGCACCTGCCAGCCTAGCCATAGTCACACATATCTCACTTCCCACTTACAGGCATGACCACAAGCTCCTAGAAATGCCAACACATACCACGCTTCTGCAGGCTTCCAGCAGCCCCCACCCCACTTTTCTCTCTGCCTGTGGGAGGTAGGGCTGGGAGGGGAAGCTGTACTTGCTGTCCTGTCCAGCAGAAGGCAGTCAACTCTGGCCCCGTTGACTAGCGTCGGCTCTAGGAGACAGAGCAATGAGACAATGATCAGGAGAGCTAGTGCCCTCTGTCACTGTTAACTTCACGCTGCCTGAACGGTTTGTCACCACCCGCTCAAGTACATGCTTTCTGAGGCCTCTGTGTGTTCAATGCTTTTGCAAGCATACAAGCAGGTGTGGGTAATAACGCCCAGCCACAGGGCATAGCTTCAGAATTTCATCAGGGGCTTAGTAAATTGTTAAGCAACTCTGCTGAGAGGTGTCATTTAAGATATTGTTTCATTTTTGATGCGTCAGAGCACATCCTGGCTCAAATAAAGGTCCCCTCTGGGCCCGAGGGGCATGGATGCGAGGTGCAACGTTCTGGGAAAAGAGCCTTCCTAAATCTCTCACTCTGCCAGCCTCTTCCCCCACATGCAATGAAAGCCTTGGGTATCATCCGGTAGAAGTGACACAGACCGAGTCTAGATATGTGTAGCTGACACCTGCCGTACGCCCATTCCCTTACTACCCCCTGCGCCCAGCACTGAACTTGGCGCCATAGAGGCCATGACCATGTCCATCTTCCCTGTCTTGTCTACAGAGCCTTTCAATCGGCCGTCCACGTTCACCGGCCTAGCAGCGGTTGGCGGCAATGCCTTCGGGGGACTTGGCAACCCTTCAGTTAGTGAGTACCTCTAACTTTTTAACATCTGCCATGGAATTCTTCATTTTCTCTGGTCTGTGTGTGGCTCAGGGCCTTTCTGGGTCCCAGAAAACTCTGCCCATTGGGTAATACTTGCAGAAGCAGTTCCAAGCAATGGGGTTAACCTTCAGCAAGCCAAACCGCTATGAGAGTGGTAATGCAGCTAGTCAGTGTTGAAGCCCCCTGGTGTTCACTTCCATCCATGACCCGTCTCTATCATCCGAAATACCCACAGCAGCTGCCCACTAGAAACAAACGCCATTGTCAGCATACCTGTTGCCCGAAGGAAAACAATCACAGACTGAACAGTAATCAAGTGTTGGGAGCCCATCGGTGGTGGTGGGAGCTGGGGTAGGGGAGCCCATGGTACAGCTAAGATATTGGCGTGGGAGACCTGAATCCCTCTCTCAGAGTACCCGGGTTCAAATCCTGCTCTAAGTCCAGTTTCCTGCTCATGCAGGCCCTGGAAGGCAGCAGAGAATGGCCCAAGGACCGGGGTCCCTGCCACACACGAGGGACTGGGGTGGAACTCTTGCACTCCATACTTTGGTGGGGGCCAGCCAACCCTGGCTGTTATAGATGTTTGGGGAATAAACCAGCAAATGAAAAGTCTCTATCTCCTTGCCTTTCAAATAAATAAAAAGAATTCTTTAAAAAAAACTTTGGTTGGCAGCGTTTCATCCTCCATAGTCTGGGAGGTGTGTCGTTTGCCCCAGTGAAAAAGTCCACTTAGAGCAGGAATGGGGAGACTTTTTTCTTGCCAAGGGACATTTGAATATTTGTGACATCATTCGTGAGCCAGGCAAAATTATCAACTTAAAAATAATTTGGCTATAGATGTGTTGAGTTGAGCTTCCCACCTGCAGTTACCTTGGCAGAACCATACCAATGATACTCTAGGCCTTGCACGGCCCCACAGACCTGACAGCCCTTGCCAAGATCCAGGCATGAATGCCCAGCCACATTGGTCATTTGGGAGGACATATAAATGGTGGAGCCATTGTTTAAAATGCGACGTGCAGACCTTGGGCGTCCGTTGAGGTCCTGGCCCAGCGTGGTGATCTACATGCACCTGTTTCGGAGGAGCCGTGGTGGCTCAGCAGCAGCAGGGGGGACCTGAAGTCCACTCTGAGCTGACACTTGCTGCCCTCTGAGTGGTACCACCCTGGCACACCTTTGTGCATGATTGGAGCTTGTGCACATGCCACGAGTCTGACAGGGGAGCTCTCATACCTGTTGGGTTGCTTTTGAACTCCCAACACTCCCACTTTTGCTTGTGGTTTAAAAAAATAATAAGAAGAAAAGCAGCAACAACACCAAAAAAAAAAAAAAAAAAAGCTGTGAGCTACCTCTGTAGTGTAGGACACACATTCCTCTAATGAATCTGTTAATCTCCTTTCCTTTTCCAGCTCCCAATAATATGTATTCATTTTAACTCTGAATGCTGTTAAAAGTTTTTTGGTAAGTACCTTCACTATAAGCAGGTTATATAATTTCTCTTAAACCTTTTTGTTCTCCACTTCGCCATTTCAGCACCCAACTCAATGTTCGGCCACAAGGATGGCCCCAGTGCGCAGAGCTTTAGCAACCCTCACGAGCCCTGGAACCGGCTGCACCGAGCGCCTCCGTCGTTCCCGACCCCTCCGCCCTGGCTGAAGCCGGGGGAGCTGGAACGCAGCGCGTCCGCTGCAGCTCATGACAGAGATAGAGATGTAGATAAACGGGACTCGTCTCTTAGTAAAGATGACAAAGAAAGGTACGCAAAGAAACCGCTCTCCGAGTCCCGCTGGGGGAGCCCGCTCTGTGCCATGGGCCGTGGAACCGGCCACTCACCCTCCCCGTCCCAGCCTCGTGGCCTTCAGCCGCCCCTGGGCCCCCCTGCCCCCCACCAGCTCCTTCCGAGTCAGTGCGCGTGCCAGCCAGCAGCCCTCGCGCCACCCCCCCGACGGCAGCGATGGCAGTGCAGTGTAGGATTCCTGCCCTTGCACACCTGCCGAACTCCCCCCCACCCGTGAGCAGGAGGCTGTCCCCCACACGACTCTTCCTCCAGCGGCCAGGTAGCCGGAGCGCAGGCGCAGACACACACACAGCATGACCCAGTGCCATGTTTGCTTTCCAGTCCGTGCGGTCCATTCAACCATCCATAGGTTTTCCTCTCTCTCTCTTTCCTTTTGTTTTCTTTGAGAAAGTCATGTTCGCCTCGCCTCATGTTTTTCTCAGATTTTGTTCGAACTCAAAACCCGGGGCTCACAGATGATGAAATGCGATTGTACTAACCTAGATTTAGAGAAACGGCAAGAGGTTCTGGTTTGGGTGCTGTTTCACCCATGGGTGGTGGACTTTCTTAACTGTTGCCATCTCTGCTTGGTAAGCCTCGCCTGCAAAAACAAGTCAGCTCAAAGAGAAAATGTCCCGTGGTGGTTTTCCCGAGGAGAGCCCTAAGCCTTCTTGACAAAATGTCTCGGTTTTCCTGGCTGTTTCCATTTTGAACTAACTGCTAAGCAGGGTATAAGCAAGACATGCTTCATAACAATTTTCTTCTATACACGCACAGACATATGGGTAGCATGTACTACCAACTGAATAGTATTCAACTTTGCAGGCTCTGGCCGTGGCAGGTCTGTGCGTACTCATTCCTTGCAAGGGCTGGTTTCTTCCTTGCAAAAGGAAGACACAAATTTTCCTTCAAGGCAAGGTGACAGAAATCTCTTGGCCAGCAGGAGGAGTGCTCACAGCACTCAGCTCAGGGCTGGGAGTTGCCAAGGTGAGGCAGGTCTACACCCAACAGGCAGGTGGCACCCTCCAGGAGCTCTTAGAGAAGATGCCAGAGGGGTGAAACATGCCACGTGGCCTGCAGACTTCCCAAAGTTTTCTTGCTGGAATCACCGTGGCTTCTGGGCTTGGAGCCAGGAAACTTCCTGCGAACTGTGTATACTCTGTATCTCTTGAAAGTGTCTTCTTTCAAACCTTGCTGGTTGGCAAGAACAATGGCGGGAGGGGGGGACCAGGAGGGCCGGGAGGGCGCTGGGGGTTGTCCTGTGCCTCTCTGGCCCCTTGCCATCTCTGAACCAGCACCACCTCCAGGTCTCTGCTTTCCCTGTGTGTCTTGGGGTTGTTCCTAAGACGCTGCCAATTCTGTGTCTTGATCTTCAAGGTGTATGCTCTTGTCGGTCATGTTGGGTCCTTCCTGTCTTAAGCCTCCATCCAGTAGTTTTCCAGAACTCTTGTGACACTTGGCCATTCACAGAAGTTCTTGCAGTTTGTCCTGCACTGGCCCTGTGAGGGTCTGTGTTTATGCACCTGTTTTTCCTCCATCTTTCTCATCGGGTTGTAGTCTCTGGGTCCCACCTAGGACACAGGTGCCTTCCTGGCTTCCGGCCACACTTGCCTCCTGAGCCGTGTCCCATCAGGCTCCTCTGCGTCCTGCGTGCGTGCAGGAAGACGGTGCCCTCTGTGCCGTGGGCTCTTCAGAGATTTCATAGCTCGTTCTAAAAAAAAAAAGCCAGGCATGGCTTTCAACATCTGCTGTGGTAGAAACCATACCTTTTCATTTAGCGTCTGTATTCTTGACGTTGTTGAAACAGCACCTTGGGCTCTTCATTCTGCTACTGGCCCTTCCCCCTCCAAGTTGAGAAGGAGAGCCACCACTGCTTTGGGGGCTCCAAAGGTGTTTCTCCCTGCACTGGCTCATCCTGAGGGCTCTGTTGCCACATGGCTAACTTCCTGACCACACTGGTCCCTCTGAACTTTCTGGAAGAACTTCTTCCTGGGATCTTGGCTCTTAAAGGAAAGCTAGAATTATTCCTCCCCTGCCCCCAAAAGACTGCACCCCTCACCCCATTCCTCCTACTTCACACCCTCCCCTACCCCATTAAGCTTCCTTGCAATCCAGGTTAGTGAGATCGGGATGGCTGGCCGGTGTGCCAGCTGCCCCGGGTAACCCTGGGAGCCACACCCCACCGAGCCTGTCCTCTCCTCACCTCCATCTCATCGGTGACCCTGCCAGGCTGACAAGCCCATCTCACAGTGCATTCCCTCTTTCTTCCCCAGGGAAAGCGTTGAGAAAAGACACTCCAGCCACCCCTCACCAGCACCTCTCCTCCCGGTGAACGCCCTGGGACACAACCGCAGCTCCGCCGAACACATCCGGGGTCACCTGAACACCGAGGCTCGCGAGAAAGACAAACCCAAAGAGAGGGAGAGAGACCACCCGGAATCCCGCAAGGACCTGGCCGCCGCCGATGAGCACAAGGCCAAGGAGGGCCACCTGCCCGACAAGGACGGGCACGGCCACGAGGGGCGTGCCGTGGGCGAAGAGGCCAAGCAGCTGGCCCGGGTGCCATCGCCCTACGTGCGGGCCCCGGTGGTGGAGAGCACCAGGCCCAACAGCACCTCAAGCCGGGAGGCCGAGCCGCGCAAGAGCGAGCCGGCCTACGAGAACCCCAAGAAGGGCTCGGAGGTCAAGGTTAAGGAGGAGCGCAAGGAAGACCACGACCTGGCGCCCGAGGCTCCGCAGACCCACCGGTCCTCAGAGCCGCCCCCGCCTAGCTCTTCGGCCAGTGTGCACCCAGGGCCCCTGGCCACGATGCCCATGACCGTCGGTGTGGCGGGCATCCACCCAATGAACAGCATCAGCAGCCTGGACAGGACTCGCATGATGACCCCCTTCATGGGCATCAGCCCCATCCCCGGGGGAGAGCGCTTCCCGTACCCTTCCTTCCACTGGGATCCCATCCGGGACCCCCTGAGGGATCCTTACCGAGAACTGGACATCCACCGGAGGGACCCCCTGGGCAGGGACTTCCTGCTGAGGAACGACCCTCTGCACCGGCTCTCGGCCCCACGGCTCTACGAAGCCGACCGCTCCTTCCGGGACCGAGAACCCCACGATTATAACCATCACCACCATCACCACCACCACCCGCTGTCCGTGGACCCGCGGCGGGAACACGAGCGGGGCAGCCACCTGGACGAGCGTGAGCGCCTGCACATGCTTCGCGAAGACTACGAGCACACGCGGCTGCACTCGGTGCACCCCGCCTCGCTGGACGGACACCTGCCCCATCCAGGCCTCCTCACGCCGGGGCTGCCCAGCATGCACTACCCGCGCATCAGCCCCACGGCGGGCCACCAGAACGGACTGCTCAACAAGACGCCGCCCACCGCGGCGCTGAGCGCGCCTCCGCCGCTCATCTCCACGCTCGGGGGCCGCCCGGGGTCCCCACGGAGGACTACGCCCCTGTCGGCCGAGATCCGCGACAGACCCCCTTCCCACACCCTCAAGGACATCGAAGCGCGATAAAGGGGGTGGGGCGGGGCGAAGCCACGCGCGGGACTCTGCAGAGGCGCGCGCGCCCTTGAACTCCCGCATCCCTGGCACGGACGAGGACATGGAGCCGCGGCCCCGCCCACCCTTGTAAAACAAAACAAAAAACCACCATGTACAGACTCAGTGCCGATTTTGAAATGATTTTTTTGTACATTATACGTTGAGAGTTTTTGCAGCTCTTTTAGCTAAGTCATATGTTCTCACGTCTCTTACTCTCCCCCTTTTGTTATCGTTGTTGTTGTTATTCCTGGTATCAAACTCTTGGATTATTATTCTTATTCTTTTGGAACCCAAAGTGTAGATGACAACACACAACCAATTTCAGGATCGATTGGGGAGGGGAATGGCAGAAAGCTCATGCCATCCGTCACGCGGAGCTGTTTTTCGAGGAGGGAAGGCCGTGTACATAGTTATGTAAAAAAAAAAAAAAAAAATCAGAGTGCTTCATGACCTACTGGTTCATATATGCAAAAGGGTAAGACGAAAGCTTTACTTTGTACAAATGTAAATAGATAAAAGAGTAAGTAAGATATACCTGAATCCTTCTTTTAAAAATGTGCTATTTGCAGACTTGAGGCCGGTGGACGCAGCCGCCGCGTCCCCAGTCTATCGCTAGACAGCTGATCCCTTCAACTATGCAATGAATGTCCGGGTTCTCCCAGGAGCCCGTCCAACTGTCAAGGAGCCTTTTCCAGCCCATCTACAACACACTTAAGGTCATATTTTCCCCTGAACAAGCGCTACGTGAGACGACTCTTGGTTTTTTCCTTGCTTGGGTTTTTTTTTAGGTTTTTTTTGCTGTTTTTCAAACAGAGAAGCATCCTATCTTTTTTTCTTTCCTTCTTTCTTTCTTTTTTTTTTTTTTTTTTTTTTGCAAATGGGTCCACCGGCTGCAACTTTTGGGGAAGTTGCTGCATGTTGTTGGGCCGTGGGGGCCGGGGCCGCCGGGATGGGGAAGGGAGGGGACTGGTGGATCAGGTGCCAGAATCAGGGCACTGGGTGCTGGTGTCTGCCATGATCGTGTCCCCAAACTGGCACATCAGGGCGCGTGTGCGCACACACACACACACACACACATACACACGCACCACGCGCACACACACACACGCCTCCTGTGGGAACCAGACCTTGTTTCGGTGTATCCTTTCCCCCATCCGTACACACTTCCTCCTTGGGGATACGAGCTTTCCTGACAGAAAGCGTCACGTGTTCGCAGATAATGGATGCGTTTGCGCTGGGCTCCGCACCACCGGCAGAGTGAGGGTACCACACGTTTCCCCCCGCTGTGACTCGTGGAACGCCAGGCGGTCCTTCCCCGCCCTGGGGGCCAGCCCGTGGAGCCATGGAAAATTGAACAGCAGCGGGAAAGTGGCAGAAAAGAAGTTTTTGTGTGTGCGTGTGTGTATTTTTGAGTTTGCATCAATCTTAATGTCTCTTCATGCTACTTTTATAATACATTAAGCCTCTTGTCTACATATTTGGAGAGAATATGACTTGACTAGCAAAGAAATACAATATATCTTGTCTACTGGACTGTAACATACATGTATGAAATAAAATTAGTTCCATTTGGTCTTCTAGTATATGAAAGTGCTATCTGACGTTGTTATCCTGTTTTTGCAAAAAAGAAAAAGAAAAAAAAAGTTAACTACAGCCCATTGTTTCTAATAAGCGGAGATCTATTTTAGTAGTCAACTGAAGGTTTAGTTGTGAGCTTCGGATTTTGTGAACTCCAGATGTTGTGCAGTGTTTTTGTTTTTGGGTTTGGGTTTTGTTTTTTTTTTTTTTTTTAAGACAACAAACTAAAAAAAGAAAAAAATTTCCAAGGAATATGTACACTGGAACTGTAGTGGTAGCTTTCAGTATTGTAAAGAGATTGTTCTAAACAGATCTTTTCGCTGTTGATCCCGTATGTAATTAAGTCCTTTCTAGATTCTATGTGAAACAACTGAATCTTCAGCATGTTCTCAGCGGCGGAGCCTTCTTGTGTAATGTAAACTGTGCCATGTTATTAAAAAATGTGAACTAAGCTTCCAGCTGCTTGTTTGTGTGAGATAGCCATCCTTGCCTCGGGCCAGAAGCCGCACTTGGGCAAGTCTAGTTCTCTTTGAGATCCAGCCAGGGAGTGAGTGGCTCTCTAGTTAGGTTCTAGAAGCAGTTGCCCACTACCTTCTTGTCTTGGTCTTTGTGTTTTGATATGTGCGGAATAGCATGGTGTCAGAGTTGTGGGAAAGACAGACCAAGTTGGCAGGTGGCCCTGATGTCTCGAACCTTCGAAACTGAAAGTCAAGCGTCAACGTCGCTGAGCGAGCAGATGCACGCGGGACCTGGGACCACGATGTGGGCTCGTTTGCTTCTTTGCCTATGGGCGTATCAGGTGCTTGTTAAATGTCCAGACCTGCTAGAGGTTTGCTCTTCATGCCTTGCCTTGCATCCCTCATTGTTGCCAACTTCTCCCCATCCTTTGAAACAGCTGGTTTTATTTTATTTTTAAGGCGATTGTTGCATTTTCTTGCTTCTACCTACAACTACTCTTTGGATGAGCTTTTTTACAATAATGTCGTTGCAGACCGCGGTTGAGGAGAGCAGGATGCAGGTGGCTGCCAGATGGGTTTGTGTCCGTGGCGGGGGGGAGGCCCCGGGAACTCCTAGAGTTCCACCAGCCCTTGGGCAGGGCACTGGACCGTGTCCTAGCGGCAGCTTAGGCTAATGATGGGCAGAACGGCCACGATGTCTGAATACAGGCTGGCTTCACCCAGCTCTGCTTTACATGTTAATACCCGATTTCCAGGCTGGCGGAGACAACAAAGAAGAAGTCGTGGATTGGAAACCGTGATAAATGCTGTTTTTCCGAATCCGGCGGTCCTTGGGCTCCTCTTCCCGTACCTTGTCGGCTGTTTTCTGCCAGCCCTCCCCGCCTCCCATTATACACCTGTTTCCATGTCGCCATCTACGATGTCAGGACAGAGCAGAATCAAAGCCTCCAATCAGCCGGAGTGGTTAATCTCCGGGGCTTTATTCATCTCCACCTTTGCATATTTCCCTTCTAATGACGGGCGCGGCGCCTCGGCGTGGAGGGGAACCAGCACCGATTTGATTTCCTGCTAAAACGTATAGACACTCTCATTATCTTTGCAGTCTTTGACTGACAATGATCTTGTTACCTCCTAATGGTACATGACAAGGAAAATAGCGAATAATTACCACTTGGGATGCGTATCTGCAACAGCCCTGGCTGTTTATCCTTTTTTCCTGCCACACTCGGGGTGGGGGAGGGGGAGTAAGAGGTGATTGGAGGGACAGAAAGAGGCGAGGCTGAATTCTGCAGTACCATCGCCCCGTGCACTTGTGGGAGGCTCCAGCCCTTATGCTGGTATCTCTGACGAGAAAGGAATTAGATCTCAATGCCGTTAAACTGGTTGAAAGAAAGAAGGCCACGAGGGCCTGGAATTCTGCCTGGCTCTCTCCCTTGCGTGGCAGATCCAAGTACCTGGACCATCTGCTGCCTGCCCAGGTGCATCAGGAGGGAGCTGGCTTGGAAGTGGAGCAGCTCAGTAGAACCAGAGCACCTCTGTGGCCAGCAGCTCTACCTGCTGTGCTCCAACGCTAGCCCTTAACAAAAGCTTTCTGCTGCATTGTCCTTGAAACTGCCATGCAAGTCTTTCTTTTTTTTTTTTTTCTGTGCATTTTTTGTAAATTTCTTTAAGTTTTAAATTTCGGCAGAAAAGAGCTCTGTTGATCAGATACAAAATTCTTTTGCCAAAGCTCAGCTCCACGGTCCTCCCCCAGCACTGTCACAGGCACAAAGCTGGGTGTTGGGCATCTCCAACCTGAGATGCTAGAAGCTTCTGAGGAAATGCTCCTTGGAAGCGCCCCTTGGGACAGTGGCTGTTGGGTGTGGGTACAGCCTCTGCTTGCCCTCCGTGACCCTGAACATAGAATCTGTAGAACTCACTTGTGCAAGCATAAAATGAGGGCTATCTTGGGCCCAGTGTAGCAGCCTCATGGTTGAAATCCTGACAAGTGCCGGGATCCCATATGGGCGCTGATTCGGGTCCTTGCTGCTCCGCTTCCTATCCAGTTCCCTGATTATGGCCTGGGAAAGCAGCGGAGGATGGAACTGAGAACAGCATTGGCTCAGCTCTGGCAATTGAGGCCATGAATCAGTGGATGGCAGATCTATCTCCCTGCCTGCCCGCCTCTCTGTAAATCTACCTCTTTCATTAAAAATAAATAAATCTTTAAAGAGAGAGAGAATCTGAATGGAAGCAGGCCTCAACACAGAAGCACTGCTTTAAGTGCAGCCCTAGATCTTTCGTACATTGTTGGCTGAATAGAGAACAGCCCGTGTCAAAAGGAACATAAATTTTAAAAAAAAATTATAATTTTTGTTACAAAAGCACATTTTGCAGAGAGGAGAGACAAAGATCTTCCATTCATTGGTTCACGGCCCATGTGACCACAATAGCCAGAGCTAAGCCCTTTCAAAGCCAGGAGCCTGGAGCCTCTTCCAGGTCTCCCATGCGAGTGCAGGGTCCCAAGGCTTTGGACCGTCCTGCTTTCCCAGGCCACAGGCAGGGAGCTGGATGGGAAGTGGGGCCGCCACATATGAACTGTTGCCCATTTGTGATCATGGCGCATGCAAGGCAAGCATTTAACCACTAGGCTATTGTGCTGGGCCAAAGAAAAGTAATTTTTAAGAAAAAAAACTTAGTTTGTTTATTTAAAGGCAGAATTACAGAGATAAGGAAAGAGAAAAAGAGAGATATCCCATCCACTGGTTTATTTCCCCCCATGCCAAATGGCTACAACAACCAGGGTTAGGTCAGGCTAAAGCCTGGAGCTTCATCGGGGCCTCCTACATAGATGCAGGGGCCCACGCCCAATGCTTTCCCAAAATGGAGCAGCCAGGATTGAAACCAGTGCTCATATGTGGGACTGTCAGCATTGCAAGTGGCAGTTTTACATGCTATGCCTTCCATCACACGCTGACCCCAAAAAGTAAACAATTTTGGGAAAAATCAAACCCAGATCCAATTAGAGTGCTGAAGAGTTGCTGAAATGCTTGGCAAGG